GATCGCTGTAAGATAGTCTGGCTCGCTTTTTCCGTATGTCAAAAGTTTAGAGGTTCACATGTTTGAGATAGTGCTCTGATTCTTATAATAAGTCTGAAATTTCTTTCCGAAGAGCTGACATTTTTGATAAATTATGTGCTCTGTCTGTTGTTCAAGTAGGATATTTCGGCCCTCTAATCGAGTGGAGGATAGAGAATGAAGGCAGATCTGCATTTAGATTTTTTTGGACAGTACAATAATGTTGAGCTACTGGAATGCGTACTTTCTAAAATAATGTGAATAAAATTATATTCTTTTCTAGAAAAGTATGAGTAAATTTATTTCTATTGTAACCATTTTCTTTCTTTACTTATTGTTTTCAATAGTGTAATTATTGATTGATTACATATTACTAAAATATGGTATAATTATAAGTAATTAATTAACCATATTTTCATAAAAATTTGTTATGAAAATATTTAAACATATCATTAACCCTCATTAATCTCTTAAAATATGAGATTGAGTTGATTTTAGTTAGATACTTTTAATGCTTAGTTCAAAATTTAGAAAAACTTCAATTTTAGCAAAAAATTCAAAGCTATTATCGATTAAGATTTCGTTTGGGACGACTTTTTTACTGCTTCTTAAAGCAACTTTCTAGCAATAAAATTCTAATTTTTTGTACTAGAAAATTGTTTTAAGAAGCAGTAAGAAAGCCACCCTAAATGAAGCATAAGACTTCATTTGTGATAGTTTTTTTATTGCTTTCTAAAACAATTTTTTAATATAAAATTTTAAAAAATTCTTTAGAAAATAGGAAGAAAGCTATTCCAAATAAAACTTAAATTAGTTAGCCAGCACCCACTATCCAATTAATTTCACAATTAAAAAAAGCATCACTTAGTTATCACCATTAGCATTATCTAGCCATAAATATTAGATATTATAAATGATCAAAAGAAAAACTATTATGTGAAATTAAATATCTTAAAACTATGTATACAAACTTCACATATCCATTACGATGATAACATATTAAATACACGCATTATTTCTATTCTGATATTTCTCTGCATCTATCTAATAATATCTACATAAAAAAGGGTAGAATAATTTTGGATCACAAGCTTAAGAGATTAAAGGTAAAGAAATATACAGAAATACAGGCTAAAGGAATTCCTCCATAAATAATGAAAAGGTTGAGAGGTCAAATCTGGTGGGGAAGAAGAACAGCTGTGATCTTTTGACATATTCTCACATATTGACGAAGAAGAAGAGCTGAAGGCATTGATACTGTTGAAGAATGAAACCAACGCAGGCAATGAAAAGATCTCACGACTAGCATGTCATGTGTGCATGTCGGTTACGTGAGACCGGCCGGGCATTGGATGTGTGGGGTACCTATCATCTTGATTTTATGTAATACTTAGGCTGCTTTAGAGGTTTTACATTACATTATTTTATAAATTTTTATCATATATTATTTTGTTATAATTTTGTTGGAGGATTTCTTTGGTTATAATTATAGATCATATATATATATATAATTATCTATTGACTAAACTATTCTCTGATTAAACCAAGTAAATTTTTGGCCACTCGAGGCCAAGTCCTTGAAAACAACATAAAAAGTAAGGGAATTAAAATCCCAAAAGCTATTGTTGTGAAGAGGATTACCCTTAGCTTTATCAGAGGGATGACTGCAACAATTGAAGTTACCAAGGATAGCCCACATTATGGAAATATTTGATTGAACATCTCTCATTTGATCCCATAACTGAAACCTCTCGGATTGAGAGTTCGAAGCATAACCGATAGACAAGGGAAATGGCTATTGATTACCCACCGTAACATTCCCCGAAATCAACTGACTGGAGGTAAAGGAAACTGAAAAGCTAACTCTAGATGGATTCCATTTTACCCAAATCCCACCAAACTTGGCAAAATTAAAGTTGTGATAACTAGCATCATTATAAAAAAACTGAGTGGGTGGCTCGAAACCTGGGGTCTACAAGAGCAGACACATGAATCCTATTTTCCCAAACACAACATATATAGGTTGTGACGGGGGACTAGATCTTTACAGTAGGATACTTTTTAAGGGCTATTGAAACCTCTAACGTTCTAGGATGCTTTAGAAGGCAGGGTCATTAGGATTTTGGGGGATGGTGGTTAGGGTGCTTTTTGCTTTGTTTGTTTTTTGTCGTCTTAGGAAGTACATTTGGATTGAAGTCTTTGATAAGCTCAGAGGAGGTAGAGATGGAGGTGAAATCTAGGTTGGTGGTGGAAGAGGATTAAAGGACGTCAAACTTATTTGGGGAGATGAAAGAAGCTGAAGTGGAGGCAAGTCTCACAATAACAGATGTTTGTATTTCTTCAGTCGGAGAGTTGAGGTTAGGTAATGAGATAGAGGTGGAGACAGTGGAGGTTAGGGAGGAATGGAGGGTAATGGTGGGAGGAGGTTGTGAGGGAGGGACCAAGTTGTAAGGGGTTGAGGGGTTAGGGTTGGGAGGAAGTAATTGGGATTGAGGGGTTGGAAGGAGTTGTTGGGTAAGTAAATAAGACTGAGGAATAACTGGTTTTTGAGGTTGGATTGAGGCAGGGTTAGAGACTGGCATGAAAGGTTTACGGCTAGTACTTCCCCTAGTCTTTGGGGAATCAGAGGAAGAAGCTTGTGGCTTTGATGGGCAGGATTTAGATGGTTGGCCATGGAGCAAGGAGGGGGGAGCTCCTCCGGTGAGGCAAGAGGAAGGAGGAGTAGGAAATAACTAGAACAAGTGCTAGGGCAAGAAACCCTAGCAGCAGGTAACCGTAGAACTTCTTCTCACCTTTATCGAATTTAGGAAATTGTAAGTTTTTGCATAGGAAGCCGCCACTTCGAAGAAGAGGCAAGAAAACGAGACATGAATTTAACTAGTTGGAGAGAGCCATCCACAAGATTGATGGCATATGGACGATGAGAAAGATAAAATTGAAAGGGAGTTACAACGGGTTCTCACTTAGAAGTACATTGATGGTGCAGGAGCCATGTGTATTGAAGTCAAATTGATAAAGAGGATTTTTTATACTAGTTAAAGAATTTAGTCTTATGTGAGAAAATTGAAAGTTCAAATTTTAGATATATAAATAAGCTAGTTTTAAATGCTATATAGGTATTTTTCTTAAGAAAAATATTGTCAATCTTTATTTTAACTATCATAGTTTTCACTTCAAAAAAAAATTTTTTTTTCCAGAAATGTTTTACAAATAATTCTACAAGTTATTAGTTACTTCCAACAAAGGTCTTTACCGTATTGATAACAAGATCATTCTATATGGGTATTGGGTAACCCAATAATCACTAACATGCATGTCTAATGATTTGAATTATTATGTAATTTTTATAATAATTACATATAATTATTGTTTTGATTGCTTTCACAGCACATTAGGAGAGCTAAAGAACGATCTAATTAAGTGTTTGTGATTAATGATTGTGATTCCAAAATGCATAGGACCGCATTTGATTTTATGGCTTTAGTCCAATGGAGGAGAATTAAAGTTGGCTCTCCGAGTGCTTATGATTCATGACTCTTAGTCCAAACTCAAAGAACCACCAAATGCCATCCAACAATGATTGCATACTTTCATGATCGGTAAATATGTGCAACATAATAATAAATCCTTAATGTGGAGTTATTCTCATTCTCATGAGTCATGACCTATTAAAGGAAAATTTTTTTTTCTCTATTTTCTTTTAAATATTTTTCTCATCGAGCACTCAAAATTACAATTATGACCTCTAATTAAATTTCATCTTCAAAAATAAAATTAAGCATGGGAAAAATATGAAGACCTTATTAGAGATATGCATCAAAGTTAAAGAGTCCAAGGGAAGAGAGTTCCAGAAATGCTTCTAAGTGAATTAATTTGAAGAGGAGTTGATTCAATCTTTGAAATAGAGAAGGGAAAGTGAAATTAAGGATTCATTTGAGGCAGTTTTTTTCTTCTTTTTAAAGTAATTTTTATTTCAAATTTTTTAATTTTGTACTAAAAAGATGTTTTAAAAAGCAATATGAAAGCCGTCCCAAACGAAGCCTAATACATTATTTGGGACAGCTTTTTAATTGCTTTTTAAAATAAATTTATAGTAAAAAAAAATTGAACTAAAATTTTGTTGTATTATAAAAATATTTTACAATGATTTAATGAGTGAGAAAAAATTTACTACAAATAATCAATATAATATATTATCTATCTGATTTTACTTAGTAAATAAGATACGTAAAAATTGAATGTTAATATGCATAGCTATTTTTTTTATTTGTGAAAAGTAGATTGCCTTTAATTAAAAAAAGAGAGGATGTACTAGATTTTTTTTTTTTTTGCATCATTAAAATTGTGCCATTCAATTTATAAAAATATTTAATATTTAATAAAATAATCATAAATTTTCCTTAAAAATTGCTCCTTTTGTATGGTAGATCATAATCGGTGCTTTTGATTTTTCTTTAAATTTTTTGAAATTTTAATTAAGGTCATAATCTAAACAAGAAAAAATAATATTTTTTTTAGCCAAATAAAAAAAAGGAGAATATTATTTGTTAAAATTAATTTAAATAACGTATTTAAAAAATAATTTAAAAAATATCAAAACAGCCAAATGATTTACGTATTATCAATAAGAAAAACGATCCATATCATCAGTTTAAGAGAATTAGAGAGCTCTCTCTCTCTCTCTCATAACATTCCCTGAGAAATATTTACCCAGCTAAGAACTCTGTCATTTTCTAATGCAATCAAAATTATGAAGCTAATTGATGAGCAAATAATTTAAAAACTTACTATTTCCAGACGTCCGACCCATAAGAATCGCTACTAATTACTGTTCCAAGCTCATTATCTGATGATCACCAACACGAAAGATAAATTTTTATCTCCACAAACCGCAAATCTGCTTTGGTTTTCTCCGTTTAGATCGAATCGAAGGCGGAGAAATTATTAGCAAATCCAAATGAAAAATGGCAAGGAAATAGAGCTGAAAAAAAGCTTCCACCCATTTATTTGATTGAAATTTTGAGAAAGACATACATCGTTTGTTACTATGCAGATTTCAATAGGGCGACGCAAAATACTACACGCCACTCGAAAATTTCAAATCTTCAAATCCAACCTCGTAGATATTTACAAATCAATGGAACAAATGATGGATAACTGAAGCAGGGGAAACCAGAGAGAAGAAACAGAGAACTTCTTTCTCAGCTCCTTACAAACAAGTGAGCGAGCGGAAGACCACCTCTTCACAGGGGATGATGATGCCCATTTCATGGCTGAACCCAAACTCCTCCTCAGAAGCTCGCAACAAAATCTGGAACTCAGGATGAGACAGAAGAGAGATAGGAACAATGAATCTGCTCCTATTCTCGCCCACATACACAGCAAAATGGCCTTTTGGGACGTCCACAGGCAAACCTTCTTCGTCTCCCATGGCTTGTTTTCTTCCCAGGCTTGAGCATCTCTTCAGAATTTGTTTCAAGGTCGCAGCTTGTGGCAACTTGCTCGTCTTCTTGAGAGCCATTGATTTTGTTTGAAAGAGAGGTGGTTGTAATGGAGAGGAAGGCGATTGTATTTATGGTGGGGAGGGGGGGGCAAAGGCATGTGGTGGGAGAGAGAGTTTGAGGTCAGGGATTTGTACAATTCATGAAATAAGACACTGTGGTTAATGAGTTGATGGCTTGCTAACTATGTTGGCTTTCGGCGAGGAACAGAGCTGGGCGGGCTCCTTTGGTTCTGGGGCTCTGCTTTTCTTTGCTTTCTGATATATATTTTTTGATCTCTTGTTTTTGTGATTTTGGTACTAAATCTTGGAGATTTGTGATGTCTAAATCAGTTGGTGGACATATCTCTCTGAAAATTTTTTGAAGTCGAAAAATTTGATAATATTCAAATATTTAATTGAGGTTTTTATAAAAAAAAAATATTTTTTTTGTAGAAAAAAATTAAAATACAGAGTAAAAATTTTTGTATGATAAAATAAAAAAATGAAATATTTGAAATTTTTTAAATTATTTAGTTGAGTAAATTTTCAATATAAAATCATTTTAGTTTGATTTACTTTTGACTAAAAAATCTGTAAATAAATAACTGGTAATACTTTACTAATAATAAAAAAAAATTTCTTTTGCACACTAAAATCTAAATTCCAATGATTTTTTTCACCAACTCAAGTGACGAGTTTATCGATGAAAGAGAACCCTAAGAGGGTGTTTGGTAGCACCCAGTATTTGATTTAAGTAGGATTTCGTAAATTTGCTAAATCTGAATTTTAGAAATCTTGAGGAGTCTAAATCCTAAAAACTGTTTGGTAACATTCATGATAAATCTTATTAAATTCCGTGTGAATGTTTAGCTATAGAATTGATTTAACGAGCTACCCTTTCTCTCGAGTCAATGAATTTCGTAAATCCGACAAAAAACAGAATTTCGGAAATTCAGGATTTAGCACGAAAATGCGGAATTTTCTATCTACGTCAGCTTTCATTTGCCGTGAGATTTGGTTTTCATTTTAGGCCGTTCAGCTAGATTTCACTCTAATGTGCTTCAAATTCAGCCTAAATCCTGCTACCAAATTGCCCCTAAAAGGAAGTTCTAAAATGCCTAAACTCCAAATATACTATAGATAAAAATAACAGTTCATCTGTAAAGCTTAAGCTGACTCAATAGAAAATGCTTTGCTGACAGCTTCCTCCACTAATTATGTTCATATTTATCAAGATTGCATGTGCGAACATTTTTATTCGCTGAAGCTGGAGATCTGAGAGCGAAGCGGGCTGCATCTTCGTAAGCCGCATAATCCCACTCATGAGGGCGACTGAGCATTCTTCTTTCTTACTATTATTTTATTTGTTTAACTTTCTGCTTTGTTTTACTCTTAACGATTATCTGAAATTTTATCGGTAAAAAATTGTTATATGATGTTTTACGCGCAGGACCCTCTTATCCTCCAAATTGGTCTATTATAAGATTATTAAAATTTTAAGTTTAATTTTTAAATATTTAAAATATGAAGACCAAATAAAGGTTAACGCTGCAATAAATAAAAAAAAAAAAATCTAATTTTTAAATATTAAAAATACAAAGACAAAATAAAAGAAAAATTCTAATTTTTAAATAATATTGTGTGCAGACACCGGATGGGAGAACCGGAGAACCATCCGGTCCACGCTTGGTACCGAGCCTTGGTACCACGCTCGGTACTGAGCGCGGTATATTTTTTTGGTGATGTGGAGCATTTTTGTTGGTCTCTGGATGACGTCCATACTCCGAACAAATTACAAATTTGTTATTTAGGCAACTAGAGGAAACATTGTGGGTGTCGTTAGCTTTTGGAGAAATTCTTATGTTCAGACGCCTAAACGCCGTCTAGAGACTAACCAAAATGCGTCACGGTACCCCTTGCTCGGTACTGCTAGGTGTCGTGGCTCGGTACTGCTCGGTACCCAACTCGGTACTGCTGACCTAGAATATCCTGGTTGATCTCCGGACGATAAACTGCATTCAGCGTCCACACAAAATAATTTCCTTAGCTTTTGATTATTTGGCTGATTTGTCGTTTTCTGAGTCCAATCAATTTCAATTTAATATCTGTGAAAAAAGTTTTAGAAAACTAGAAGTAAAAACTAAAAATAAAAATCATAAAATAGAAAAATATTAGTTATATCTAAACTGCATTCAGCGTCCACACAAAATAATTTCCTTAGCTTTTGATTATTTGGCTGATTTGTCGTTTTCTGAGTCCAATCAATTTCAATTTAATATCTGTGAAAAAAGTTTTAGAAAACTAGAAGTAAAAACTAAAAATAAAAATCATAAAATAGAAAAATATTAGTCATATCCCATGAAGCCTAGCAAATAAATCAAGTGGGGTACAATAATGGTGAAGAGATGCTCTGATTAGCTTGAGAAAAAACAACAAGCATAACCATGTGAAGTGGCATAGGG